CATCTCCTCCATGTGCCTCAGCATAGCTTCTAGAAGGATCTGTTCCATGATCTTCCCAGGCACAGAGGTGAGGCTGACATGTTGGTAGTTCCCAAGGTCCTAATTTCTGCCCTTTTTAAAAACGGGTGCAATGTTTCCCCTTTTCCAGTCACCAAGGACTTCATCTGACTGCCATGACTTCCCAAATACCATGGAGATTGTCTTGGCTACTACATCTGTCAATTCCCTCATGACTCTGGGATGCCTCTTGTCAGGTCCAATAGACTTATCTATGTTCAGGTTTCCCAGGTGGTCATGAACCTGATCTTCTCTTACAGGGGGAGGCACTTTGCTCCCCCAGTCCCCATCTCGTGGTCCATCCACTTGAGAGGTGTGGGAAGAGAGGCTGCCAGTAATGACTGAGGCAAAAATCTTGTTGAGTATCTCAACTTCCTCATCCATTTTCCCAGTTTTGTTCGTTGGAGGTTACGCTTTCTTTAACCTTCCTTTTCTGGCTGACATACCTGTAGAAGCCTTTGTTATTATTCTTTGCATCCCTTGCCAAGTTCAGCTGCAGCCACTCCTTGGCCTTCTTGACCCCATCCCTGGACAGCTGGGCAGCATCCCTATACTCTTGGCAAGATCCCTGTCCCTGCTTCCACTGCCTATGCATTTCCTTCTTGCCCTTTAGTTTGACCAGCAGGTCTCTACTCAGCCATGTCAGCCTCCTTTCCTGATTTCTTACACCTGGGGATCAAGAGCTTTTGTGCTCTATGGAAAGCATCCTTAATGATTTGCCAGCTCTGTTCTGCTCCCTTGTCCCTGAGGGCAGTTTCCCAGGGAGTCCTATTGACTAACTCCTTGAACAGCTGGAATTTTGCTTTCCTAGATTTCAGGGTCCTGACTTTACTCTTCACCTGACCCATATCCCTCAGGACTAGGAACTCCAACAGAGCATGATCACTGGAGCCCAGCCTGCCTCCAGTCTTGATGTCATCGATTAGCTCACTTGCATTTGTGACCAACAGGTCCGTTATTGCATCCCTTCTGGTAGACCTGTCTATTACCTGGCTTAAGAAGTCATCCTCAATGCATTCCAGGAGCCTCCTGGATTGCCTACAGCTTGCCATGCTACTTTTCCAGTAGATGATGATGGGGTGGTTGAAGTCCCCCAGCAGGACAAATCTGCGAGAGTGATGCCTCACGTAGCTAGAGTAAGAAGGCTTCTCATTAGGCTCCCTTTGATCCCGTGGCCTGTAGTAGACAGCAACTACAAGGTTCCCTTGGTCTCTAATTCTTAACCATAAGCTTTCAACCTGCTCATGGCTGTTCTTCAGAGACAGCTCTGCACACTCTATCCACTTCCTGATATAGAGGGCAACCCCTCCACCCCTCCTTCCTCACCCATCCCTTCTGAATAGCCTGTAGCCATTGATAGCTGCGCTTCAGTCATGGGATTCATCCTACCAAGTTTCAGTAATGTCAACTAGGTCGTACCTTTCTAGCAGCACAGTGGTTTCTAGCTCCTCCTGTTTATTGCCCATGCTGTGTGCAATGGTGTAGAGGCACTTCAGCTGTGCTGTCAGCCATGTCACCTTCTTAGAGGAACACCCCTTAATAATTACGATAGGCACCCTTAATACCCTCTGTAGGGTAAAAGAAAGAGGTACTTTTACATCTCACTTCATGCATCTCATTTTAGACAGCTGCTTTAAGAAGAGGTGATTAGATTCCTAAAAGTACTTATTTCTTTCAAGTGGTTGTAAAGAAAATCTAAGCAACTACTATAGGCATCTAAATTTGATCAGATGAATAGCAATCCAGAGAAATGTTCACCTGCACAGGGAAGAATAGAAATCAGGATCATAATTCTGGAAATAAAGCAATCTCAGCACTGCAAATACAGCCAGTAGTGAGTATGCTACAGGTCAGTGAAAAGCTAGTACTGGCCACAATTCATGAAAAAACAACCTATCTAACAATGGGCAGAAATTGCTTAAGTACAGGTATTCGGCTATTGATATTTCATGTCTAGCAAAAGAAGGTAATGAAGATACAGCTCCATTAACTCATTTGGATCTCCTGGTGATTCATACCAGAGTTCAGGAGGAAAAGAACAGAGTTTTGGGGTGGGTCTTAGACAGAGAAGCCAAAGTGACACAGACGTGATTGTATGAGTAAATCTTTCCATAATAATGAGTATTATTTTGCAATCTTTTAATATTCTGTGTGGGTGTTTATAAAAAAAATGGAAGGGTTACTTTTAGATGTCCACATGCACATGTACACAAAAACCAGAGAAAGACTAGAAGATGAGTCTAAAAATAATATATAACTCCATGGCAATGATATTTGTAGCAGATGAAGGACAGAACAAAAGATTGTTATTAAATAAATCATAATTTATTACAGATGCCTGTATTTGGATGCCCAGTTAAGTACCTAATTACATGAAAAAATGCAATTGCCATGTAAAGCAAAGTTAATTTTCAAGCACACCTGCTGAGCTTAGGGTTGTCTTTCAGGTACCTGTTTAGTTGCATGCTGTTGTGCACCACCTGCAGAAAATATCTGCATGCCTGTCAGGAGTCTGGCACAGGTTATTAGTGAGGAAAACCATGGCTTTGCAGGTTAAGCAGGCAGTCCCACGG